TGGCGCTCATAGAAAGGAAAAGGAGAATGAATTAAAGCACTCAACTCAAGCAGGTAAAGAGGATTACAAATCAATTCAAGGTGTTGGTGTCAAACCTCGAATAAAGCCCGACTAGGTTCAACACATGGTTTGCTCTGGGTGTTGTTTTCGGTCTCGGTGTCACTGGATGGCTCAAGCCTCAAGAGAAAGAGAGAATAGACATGGCACTAGATAGTTGGGCTTTTATTTAGGAATAAGTTTGGTTTGCACTTAGATCTAACTTATGAACCAAAACGACACCCAGTGAGATGTTCGGTTAAGTTTTTTCTTATGCCTCGAGTGAAGGAGGACTTGGAATCCGTTGTGAAAAGTGTGTTTGCCTAAGTTTGTAAATAGAAATAAAATATTAATGAAAGCTAAAAACTGAGTGTAACTATTTCATGATTAAGTCAAGACTATAAACGATCATAAAAAGGGATTCATGAGCTGATAAGCCGATAAGCCGATTTACATAACTAAAACCTAAATAAATGTCGAAATGTGAAGAAAACAAAATAATTCTAGCAAGATTCATAATCATAACCATTCTAGCACATCATGATCTACAAGTAATAATCTTCCATTCTAAAATGCCATATAACGAAGGGAATGATAAATGCTAATCATCCTAACACTTAATTCTTGTATCTTCCCTTTTTGGCGTCATAGTTAACAAGAGAATTATTATTAGCACTCTAAACATTTAATTATGTACTTTAAACTTTTTACATTTAAAAAGAAAAATATTCTTACAATGAGTGCACAATTAGATTTTTAGATTGCCAATAATAGTTTCTTTTTGTTGTGACATATGTTCTAATACATATTATGATTGTGTAAGTCCTAAGTGGAGATAGATTATAAACCCTTTGGGATCTAGAAGATCTTTCCTAATAGACTTTGTATTACTTGGAGAACAAGTTTTTCTCCTCCTTATTACTATAAATAAATGCACAAGGACTGGGGAATTAACACACAATTCCTCAAGTCTGTTCTCCACTTTCTTTCTCTCCATGCCGCACCCCTCAGTTAAATATAGGCTATAACACATTATCAGCATGCTTTTCACGCTGTGCTAAAGAGAATTTATTCATTTTCAATCAGGGGAGTATTACGTTTCAATTCTTTTTAATTCATTAAATTTTGATTTTTCATCAATTCATATACTTTTATTGATTCAATTTATTTTTCTTGTGTTCAACGTGATACAAGCTTTGGAGATGGAAAGCCGAAATTGAAGAATTAATTTTCTGCATCAAACCAGTTCACCAATATCATCACGCAATCAGGTTCTTCCAAAACAACGGTTTTAATCTTGATATTTTTGCAGCCCTGATAACATGAACATTCACCATAATGCATAACTCAACTTTACGTTTTTCGAATTTTAGATTCTATATAAATTGTGTGTGCATTATACCCATTATTTTAAATTATGTGAATTGATATTGCATGACATTATATATAGATCAACATGAAACTATATATGCATCTAATTGAATTGAATAAAACTTTGACAAAATTTAGGGTTTCGTGACCTCAACCAACAAGCTGCAGGCTTTGAGTTGCGCCGTTATGTGAGACATGGAGTTGCGATGCACTGGAGCACAACTCTGTTGCGTTGAGAACCCAAAGAAAACGACGCCGTTTGACATCATCCTCAACCCTGAAAACCTAGCCTCGCCGGAAGCCAAGCCCATGGCTTTGCAGTTCTTTTTCTGGACATCACGACCTGCAGTTGTGTCCTTTTTGGGTTTTGCAACGTAGTCTTCGATGACATCCCTTGAATTTCCCATTGAAATTCATCGAAATAAAAAAAATTCCGAATTGAATTCCCTAGGTTCTACCTTTTCCCGACGTCGAGGATTCTCCTTCGTTGTTGAGACTAGTTCTTCGATGAACCACCATGCATCGTACAAAGACTCCGTCGCCAGAAATGATGGCTCCAGATTTCTTCCTTAGTGAACCCAGACAACATGGCTAGGATTCTTGATTGGACCAAACTTATGACCTTTTGGGCTTGGATCACCTCGCCCTGTAGTAGGGCTTGCACTCGCAGCCTGCTACGCATTCCTCAGCTCAGTTGGGCTTTACCATTCCTATGTCCACCCACAGGAGAACCCAGTCCGTGTGATTGTTGAGGATCCCTTGCACCTCACTACACTTGATCAGCGCCCCTACATGGGCTCTTGCTGATTCGAGCCTCTAGCTCCATTTATTTTTGGTGTGTTTAGGCCTGGCCTCCTCGGCCCGAACCAACCCCAGCCCAATTTTTGGGTTTTGGGCTCCCGGTTCAATTCTTTTAAAAAGCCCATTAGGGCTTTGTTCCATCTTAGGCCACCAATTATATTGCCTTTTTTTTTTAGGCCTTATGGGTTTTAAATTTTTCACCCAACTTTTAATTTTGGCCTAAAGTCTAAATAATTAAATTATAAATTCTATACATATTTGCATATTTTTATTGTTGCATATTTTTGTATATATTGCATTTGTTTGCAGGTATTATGAACTTGACGTTCATACTTCCAAGCTTGAAGTTTCGCAAAAGTGCCATAGAAACCTGAAGTTTCTTAATGCACAACACTCATGTTGAGATCCGCAATTCTCCATGCTTAAATCCATTTAAACCAAACCATGTCTTAGAACATGAATGTTCTAACTTTGATATTTATGGAAATTTTATTTCCTAAAACACAAATCACATTTTGGTTTCCGCCATTCAGCATATTGTCGAACCTTAACAAGTTTGATTTCATTGATTTGGAAGTTTCGAATAAAAAAACTAATTTATATGGATACAAGACGTGACACCTCGCTTGACTATGACTAGTTGCGTAATCATTGTAGCCAATTATGGTATGGAAGAGCTGAATAAGCCCTTGCCATGACGCATATCAAATGGAAGTACCTCACTGACAAGGACTCCATAGCTCTTTGACTCACTATGGACTGTTTCAAATCATGCAAAGATGAATTCTTGCTCGAAGCACAATATGATTGAAACCATTACGTCTATGAATGGGTACAATTCTAAAGATTGAAATCATTGTGTCTATGAATGGGTACAATTCTAAAGTTTATATCCGATTGAATTTTAACTGGGAGAAAATCTTTCTCGTCATTCTATATCTAAATTGCTCCTAAAGTAGCAGTATAGAGAGCAGAAGTTACCAAATTCTCGGATCTGATTACAACCACACTTATAAGAGAAAGGTACCCCAACAATTCAACTGGGAGTTACCGAACAATGTAGACCTAGTTTCGAGCGGAGTCTACTGAATGGTGATGCCTTGCTTCGGCAGGGATGCACCGAAGGGCATGCTTTGCTTCGGCAGAGGTGCACCGAACGGTATTGCTTTGCTTCGGCAGAGAACTACTGAACAGACCCCTCCAACTTCAGCTGGAGCTTATCGAACCTAAATCTGGGTCTATCTCTCTCTCTCACAATCCCATTTTCAAGTTTGTTTTACAACATATGGTAGAATTAGGCCTGCCAAGAGGTGGTATCACAGCCGAAGCATGATCCTTAACACCTAAAACTTCAAGAATAAGGGGTAGTATTCCCAAACCTCAACCCTACAGAATCTAATTCAAATTTGATGAAATAGATCATTATTTATGCACTTGTATGTGCCTCTACCAATGTCGTTGAGGAGTACCATTACCGTAGTCAATATGTGAGACTAATTTTGTTCCACCTAACACATTTGGAAGAGAGAAATTTGACATGGAAGGCCTATTGGCCGACCCCCTTGTATATTTGTTTACTTTGTGAACAATTTATTTTGTTCTCGAATTTAAGATTGGTGTTTGGATGTCACTATTATTCTCGAATAAGAGTTAGTTAACGAAAATTACCACATATGACTACAATTAACTCATGCTTAGGTATGTTTTGTGGGGAAGTAGTTGTTTGGTTCTATGCTAACTTCATACCTAATCATCCCTTGACAACCTTTCAGGCTTATCCAACTTGATTGTGGGGCATTACATTGCCTTATATTATCCAATGGTACTAAATTTACCATAAAGGGAAGCCTTATACTCACTCATTCCGGAAGAACGCCTTTTGAGCTTTAAGAATATTTGAGAACATTATTACCATATTGAAACAAATGTAGAAAATGGAGTAAAATTTCTTCGCATATTACCATATTGCACTTCCTACAAATATAGTCAGAAGCATATTCTAGAGAAGATGGAACGCTTAACGAGTGGATTACACCCATTCAGACCCACTATGTGGCCGGCTAGAAGTTCGCGATTCCAAAAGAATTTTCACTATGGATGTACATTTGGGATATCTAGAATGATCCATGATGTGCCGTTTTGGGCATCCTCTTACCTGAAGTAAAGACATCATACCTGGAAGCGTATCATGTCTTAGCACCCTCCATCTTTTCTACAAAGGATTCAAAATGGACATTTGTGGGCTGATTCAACAACCCTACGGACTATTTATATACTTTATGGTATTAGTTGATGCTTCTACACATTGATCACACGTGTGGTTGTTGTCCACAAGCTGCATTCTCCACATGGATAGGTAATCCTCATGTCATGCACCAACTTTTCTCCAAAATATGACTCCATAATTAGTTCATTTTATTTCATATTGATTAGATTGAGTTCAATTACAATGTATATCGTAAGAGGTTTGGGGTGAAACTCAAATATCATATTCTTCATCATCAGTGTCTTGTCCATTTATTTGGGGTGAAACCCAGAGATAGATCGACAAGCCTGCGATGAAGAAAAAGCTCATTAAGCTCATGAAAGGTAGGCCATGGCAATCCGTGCAAATGGGCCGATGAGAAGAACAAAAATAAGACAACCTTTGAATGCTTGATAAGCTAGTCAGTCTACTATAGAGGACCACGTTCTTCAATATAAACCTCGAATAATAGTTCACCAATTAAATCTCTTTTTGAGGTAAGAATTTATAACACATTATTTCATTTTTATAACTAAGAACTTGATCATCACCTAGCTGACAAAGAACATGTTAGCTCTACGTTAGAACATATTGGGTCTTGAATATCACCCACAGCCACATGAGTCTCTTGTGGGCATAGAGAAGGCCTGGGGGGCATTTGCAGACATTTAACATCTCCTCCAAGCAGCTTGATGACTTTGTGCATCGAAGGGCGATCGGTTGGTTTTATTCGAATGTACCACAAGGCGATTATAACCATCTTTCTGATTACATTGTTTTCCTCCTCTGTTACATTGTCCATCTCCAAGTCATTTCCCACATTATACTGATCGTATACCCACAGTGGGAAGTAGATTTGGCTTGAATGCTCTATCGTTGTATTCAAATTCTTCCTTCTGCTTGCCATTTCCATCAACAATATTTCGAAACTATAGACATCGGCCTTGTGTGAGACGTCTCCAATATTTTTGTAGAACAATTCAGGAGCAATATCTCTCATTGTCGCCCTCGCTGCCGTCAACGTGACAATGCTATTATCCACATGATACAACTTTGCTAGCCCAAAGTCAGAAACCTTTGCTTTGAAGTTCTCATCAAGAAGAATAATATGAGGCTTGATATCGAAATGGAGAATTTGCACTGCGCAACCTTGATGTAGATACTCAATCCCTTGAGCCACTCCAAGAGAAATCTCATACATTTTGTTGATAGACAAAGGGATACTTCCTTCTTTGGAATAAATGTATTTATCAAGAGAGCCATTAGCCATGAACTCATATACTTGAGCACGCTTTGATCCCTCAACATAATAACCAACGAGTCGCATCACATTGACATGGTGAATCCTTCCAATGGTAGCTATTTCACTAATGAAATCTTGGCCATTGGCTTTGGGTTTGCCCAGAACTTTAATTGCTACAAAACGGCCGCTGCGTAACTTTCCTTTAAATACTGAGCCATAGCCTCCTTCGCCCAACTTATCCTTAAACTTGCGAGTCATCTTCTTGATGTCCGAGTAAGAGTACCTTATAGGCATGAAGTTCTTATCGCATTGCAGAAAGTCTTCTATTGTACAACACATCGACAAATGTTTTCTTCGCCATTTATAGTCTTGCTGGAAAAAATAAGCCTGCAAAAAAATATATCACCGAAAGAATCATAAGAAAAGAAACTTATATGTTTCTAAATTACATTTTACTTTGTTTCATTCATGACAAGTTGGAATCTACACACACACACACACACACACATATACAACTAATAATTCAAGCTTTTCTTACCGATGTCGATCAGTATACCCCATCCACGCACTGCAACAAAATAGCAAAGAGTAAAAGTCAATTATATCAACAGCTATAAGTTTGAAAAGTGAATAAAAATCAAAGACTTGACTACATATATGCAAGAAATACAAGCTCTGTCTTACCGATGGAATGGAATGGAAACCATCGAGGAAAGTTTCCTGCAATAAATACCATACAAAATTCGGCAACGACAAAACACTAGACTACATAGACAGAAGTTAGCATTTGGAGAGACAGTCCTTGCCATGTTTACTCAGAGTATCACCTACAGTGACAAAAGTGAAAAAATATACACAACATTAGCAATACGACAATAAGTCTTCGTTAGTGTTAAATCATCAAGTTTTGAAACATATCTTTTCAGCGAGTCCTACAATTACGCATTTGGTATGTAACCAATAAGTGAATGCCAAATTTCTGAGATGATTTAATTTACTGCCTGCCATGTTTACTTATAGGGTAATTATTCACAACCTCAATCTTGGGCCACACAACAAATTTTTATTTCACGTTTTTGAACATAGCAATATCATACATTAACTTATGTATCCATTACAACGTTAGACCTCCATCTCCTTATCCATCAATTTGTCTGTTAACTGCTCACGTAAAAGACGCAAGACCCACTCTCTCGTCCAACTGAATTGAAAAATTAATTAAATATTAATAAATTAAGAATTTCGAAAACCTTCGCACACTACTGCACGCTAGTGTGTGAGACTACTCAAAAACCTTAAATTCTTACTATTTAATTTCTCAATTCAATTGTGCGAGGGAGTGGCTAGCAACTGCAAGGTTAACATTTAACAGACAAATAAATGATAAGAATACATAAGTCTAATATTGCAACGAATTTATAAGTTGATATGTGATGTTGCAATATTAAAAAAATAAGGTACGAGTTTGCTATGTGATATAATTTACTCTTACTTATAATTTGTTAGAAGAGGATACATGTAACATCCCACATCGTCCAGGAGAGTGGATTATATAAGTCTTCTATGTATATTTTCATCTCTACCTAGCACGAGACCTTTTGAAAGCTCACTGACTTCGGAGTTCCGATCCTACTTGAATTAAGACTAAAAAACAATAATTGATATCATGTATTATTGTTTTTAATTTCTTTTTTTGCCATTCAATTGAATAAATTAATAGTGAGTCAAAAGATTTATTTATTTTTAGCTACCCAAAGGAGTGTCAAAAGACAACAATAAGAAGAAGAAAAATCATTTTCCGTTGAACAAATCAACTATTTATTTATTTAAAAGAATGTGGATGTTGATTGATGCATCTAAATACGAAGAACGATCTTGCAGGGAGACATTCATTAGAAGCCAAAAAAAAAAGTTGAAATAATTTAGGAAAAAGCTTGAATTTTATTTGGTATGTTTATGTAATTTTATTTGGTGTGTTTTATTATTTGGCATGTTTATGTAATTTTTTTTAGTGAGTTTTTTATTATTCGGTATGCTTATGTAATTTTATTTGGTGTGTTTTTGTCATTTCAATAAATATTCTCTTAGTATAAATAACTTACCAAATTAATTTGAATAAATATTCAATAAATTGGAAACAACATAAATAATACAAACAATAAATAATAAATTACAACCCAAAGTGATTGAAAAATTATAGGCTCCGATTACAAAAACTACTCGATTCATCATCACTTAACCAATTTATGGTGCTAGGATGATCTTCTCTTGTGGTGCTACGACCATCTTGGCTTGCTCTCGCTTCTCTTGCACGCCTCATTCGCACCACGTCCGCTTTCTCTGACTTCCAAAAAAATTTAGAATTTGAAGACTTCCCTTCTAAAGGCGTGTTCATAATCTCACGATCTTGTTGAGCCCGTCTTTCTTCTCTAACATGTTCCCTTTCATAATCTCACGATCTCATTGAGCCCGTCTTTCTTCTCTAACATGTTCCCTTTCTTGCCTAAGTAGCTCTCTTTCTCTCTCATTAGCCTGAAATTCTCTCTCAATAGCTGCAGCTTTTGCGTCCTCTCTAGCCTTATCAGCCTCATATTTCGCCAGTTCCCTCGCCAAAGTCAATTCACCTTGGCAAGTAAGTTCTTCCATGAACTTTGCATAATCATTCTTGGAAGCACTCCCTTTTCTCTTTGAAGCCTTCTTACCTTGAGGCCTAATTGGATAACGGGTCGAACCCGACGCTTGTTCAGGGAGGGGTGTTTCGAGCACTTCTTCTGCATCATCTTCATGAACATGCGAGACATGATTGGGTGTAGAGTGTAGAGGGGTGCTGTTCATGTGCACTTCTGGACCGACTGGCACAACTCTAAATTTAGGACAATCTTTGACAATATTCCAACATTCCCACCGGTTGAATGATTTATTTTTGCTTTTGGTTTTGGCAGCGTACCAAGCTTGTGCTTGAAGTGAAGGAAAATTTGTGAAAAACATGTTCATTTAAGCAACATCAATAGCATGCAATTAACAATTAAAGGCGGAATCATGCTTGTATGCACTTAAAACAAAACATTTACCCATGAAATTCAAAGCCTAGTAGATAGGTGAACCAAGACTCAACTCAAAACAAAGTGAGTTGAGAAATCAATACCTTTGTAGATTCCTCTTTGCATAAACAAAGGCTAATCACCCAAAGAGAGGGCCTTCATTCCTTGCATCTTGGATCCATGGATTTGGATGGATGAAAAGGTTTCTCCAAGTTCCCAAAATTGAGAACCTCTAAGTCTCCACACCAAGGTATATTGTAGAAGAAATGAGTGACCTAGAGGAAGTAAGATTGCTAGCTATTCCCCTCTAGATTGGCCAAAATTTTAGAGAGAAATGAGAGCTTGTGTTCTCATCCTTTCCCCCAAAAATAACCCTTAGTAAATTTTAGGCTATAAAGTCCTTTATATAGTCCCTTCAAATAAGTGACCTAATGGACCAAAAGCCCTATTCTTTTACACATGGCTAGCCTATAGGTTTATTGGGCTTTCAAGCCCTTTGTTTTATTCAAGTTGTCATACAACTTGAGTTAATGGGCTTGACATTCAAATCCCATTGGGCCTTGCGGCCCAAAACTAACCCGAGGTCTTTAACGAACTTATTCGTTTGATTAATTAACATATTAATTAATCCTAGCCTTAGATAAATAATTAAACCGTTTAATTATTCTTACTCATCTCCGTTGAATCTTCAATCTCTACCTTACACGGTGTACGATCCATTAGGTTCCTTTTAGCGAGGCAGTGGGCGATTCAAACTCTTTCAAATCGATTGTGAATTGAAACTTACTTTCAATTCTCCCGTTAGTGATAATACACTTTTAGGGCTTCCACAAACCATGAGTGACACCTAGCAGCATATCATGGTTACCCAAGCTAATCAGAAGAGGTGGAGAACCTATTCAGTTTAGGACTACAAATGCAATACGGTCTTTCTCTAATACAATACTCTTGACCACATTGTTTGGTTTGATAGTTTATTCATGTCTACTATCCAATGTGAATCTTGTACTTATATGATTACCTTGAATGTGATCTGGAACGCATTCCAACATCTCATTCATACTCTGGCCAGAGATTCTAAATCATATCATAGAGTATTCTCCCTCAAACAGTTTGAAGGTTAGAGATCCCTTGTTGCGCATTCACTTGCCTCCATGGCTAAGTGGCTTAACCCCAACGATGCCGTGGACACCCTGATAGAGTGACGTTGACATAATCAAAGATTAAGGACCTAACCACAAGACAACTGTGATGCCTCAGGTCAAAAGACTAATTTGCATTATCCCAACCATGAGTTCTCATGTGACATGAATATGAGAACTCTTCGTTGATCGTGTTCAGTGAACTCATTCTCTATTGAGCACCTACGTACTTGTCTTGATGTCACACACACCAATGACTCGAGACTAGTCACTCTCCCTGAGAGAAGACATAGCACGTACTGATCTTAACGGACTGTCAATGCCCAATTGACAATCCTATGATCAGGAACGTTTAGGATGTGTCAACGAAAGAATGGTCTCATGAATCTAACTTCTTTAGATCGCATTCTTCCAATCACATATTCCTTGGACTTATCGTTTAAGCATATAACATTTATATTAGACGGCTCAAACAATAATCTTTGCCCTTTACATTTAAACTACATTAGTTTGAAATGAACTACATTAGTTTGAAATGTCCGTAAAGTATCATCATATGATTGGTTTTAGGGCACATTTCCAACATGAAGTTCCTACACAATGCGGGAGAAGAAATAATTATAATGAAAATAAGTAACAAATAAATAATACAAACAACATAATTATAATGTAAGTAGGTAACAAATAAATAATACAAACAATAAATAATAAATTATGTAGGTAACAAATAAATAATACAAACAAATAATTATAATATAAATACGTAACAAATAAATAATACAAACAAATAATTATAATGTAAGTACGTAACAAATAAATAATACAAACAAATAATTATAATGTAAATTTGGGTATCAAATAAATAATATATTGTTACCTGATCTGAGTAATTTTCCCCACTTCGAATATTACTACTAGCTTATGCCAAGGCGTCTCTCCACGTACTAAACGATTGGCTAAGTAATTTCCAACGACTGGACATTGATTCTTTGGTTCTTTTCCCACCAATTTTCTCAAGATAATTGGGATGAATAAGACTCCACATTTCTCGCAACTGCATCTCATTACCCATAAGCGAACTATGAGTAACTTCAACCCAGCTAGTACACAACGCAACATCTTCAAGAAGCGACCAATTCGTACCTGCACTAGTGGTCATTTTGTTGAAAAAAAATGGATTGAAACTTTGAGACAAAGAAAGGAATGTGATTGAAAGTAGTTGAGAAAATATGAAATTGTTGTGTAACGTAGATGATAATGAGAAGGTATTTATAGAAAAGTAAAAACAAATTTTTTTTAAAAAAATTTCGGATTTTTTTTTTGAATTTTTTTACAATTTTTTACAATTTTTTTTTAAAATTTTTATTCAATTAATTATTCTCTGCCGTTGGATATAAAAAAATTTGAATTCCAACACTCCAGATTGTGCCACGTGTCACAACGGTAACTTTTCTTAATTTTAAAACTATTTTTTCTTTTATTTTTTTTATTTATAAAGCATATTAATATCCACCTTTGATCTCAGATCGAACGATGGATATTAAATAAGACTTTTTTTTTTTGACCGTTGAGATCGAACAGTCCAAATTAAATATCCGTTGAGATCGAACGGACCGTGGGAAGCCACATGGCTTCCCAACGGTAACTGAAAAAGCAAATTTTTTTTTCTGATTTTGTGTTGGTGACGCGCCCCCACGCACGAGTGGGGTGCACGCGCCTGACAGAAAAAAAATTAAATAAGGCCTGACGCCAGGCTGACGTCAGCGCTGGCGTCACAAGGCCTTAGGCTCTCGGGCAGGCAATTCTCCACGGGCCCGGAGCTCGGGCCTCCACCTTCACTCGGGCTCTCCAACGTTGGAGCAGGTCCACGGGGCCTCGGGCCCCTTTTCTCTCCCCCGTCCCCCGAGTAACTGCCCACGCTGGGCTTGCTCTAAGCGGGACTCATTGACACGATACTTATTAGGTGAGGGTGGTGCTATAGCCTTTTCAATTTTCGGCTTTTAGATTAAATAATTTGAAAAAAAAATTAAATGATATAAATAAATTAATAAGAAGTGTGGAGGTAAAAATGAGTATGTGGATAGCACTATCCAATTAATATTTTTGTGTTTACTTTCAAGTCTTTAGAGGAATGAGAGTGCAAGTTTGTAAAGCGAATAAGGGGTGAAATTTTTAGGAGAAAAGTTCTATTCGTGTGTTTACTTTTAAGTCTTTAGGGGAATGATAGCACGAGTTCGCAATTGGAGTAAGGGATGAAAATTTTAGGAGAGAAATCATATTATTGTGTTTACTTTCCAAGTCTTTTGAGGGAATGATAGTGGACGTTCGCAATTGGAATAAGGGATGAAATTTTTACATGAAAAGTCATATTCTTGTGTTTACCTTCAGGTCTTTAGAGAATGAGAGTGCAAGTTCTCGGAATAAGGGAGGAAATTTTTAGGTGAAAAGTCATATTCCTATGTTTACTTTCAACCAGTCTCTAGGGGAATGAGAGTGCAAGTTCGTATTGGAATAAGAGATAAAAATTTTGGAGAAAAATCATATTCTTGTGTTTACTTTCAAGTCTTTAGAAGAATGAGAGTGCAAGTTTGCAATGGGAATACGGGATGAAATTTTTAGGTGAAAAGTCATTTTCTTGTATTTACTTTTAAGTTTTTAGGGGAATGAGTGTACAAGTTTGTAAATGGAATAAGGGATGAAATTTTTAGGAGAAAAGCTTATTCTTGTGTTTACTTTGAAGTCGTGAAGGGAAGAGGAGTGCAAGTTCCCAGTTGAAATAAGGGATTAAATTTTTAGGGAAAAAGTCATATTCTTGTGTTTATTTTCAAGTCTTCGAAGAAATGAGTGCAAGTTCGCAATTAGAATAAGGGACGAAAATTCTACATAAGTCAACTTTCTAAGTGGTGGGACTCCAATTGATGTTAATTAGTAATCTAATCATTGGCTGTGAGCTAGAGGGTGAAGCACCCTCCGTGAAGCTGCGTTACTGAAAAATATCCAAGAGGAAAAGTCATGATAAGTTAAGGCCAGGCCCATGATGTCGAGCAGTCGGTCAATGGCAGGACTGACTTGTGTAATAACAGAGACTGGCTTACATGTAACGGTGCACTGTTACGATGATAGCTAATGACACAATGTTACATGGATAAAAACTTACACAAAACATTACATTATTTATCCTTAATTGCAAAGGAAAACACTTCATCCTGTCCTGGATTTCATGTGAATTAGAATAAAAGTCCAAAAATGCAGAAAGTTGCTCCACTGGATTTAAGCAATTATCATGAGAATATTAGTGACTGTACTCTAATTTTGTATCTTACTGGCAAGGCAACATATATATGCAAAAGATTGGCTACAGGTGGCGGAATCCTGGGTTCTTTGTTTCTTGTTCTACTGGCAACTGCAGCATGTCTGGTATATGGCGCTCATGGAAAAGGAAAAGGAGAATGAATTAAGAATTGAAAGATTCTTGGAAGATTACAAAGCAATCAACCCAAGCAGGTAAAGAGGATTACAAATCAATTCAAGGTGTTGGTGTCAAAACTCGAATAGAGCTTGACTAGGTTCAACACATGGTTTGCTCTGGGTGTTGCTTTCGGTCTCGTTGCCATTAGATGGCTCAAGAGAAAGAGAAAATAGGCGTGACACTAGACAGTTGGTTTTTATTTAGGAATAAGGTGGGTTTGCGCTTAAATCTAACTTAACCAAAACGAAGATACACCTAGTGAGATTCTGGTTTGATTAAGTTTTTTCTTATGCTTCGATTGAACGAGGATTTCGAATCCCTTGTAAAAAGTGTGTTTGCCTAAGTTTGTAAGTGGAAATAAAATATTAATTAAAGCAAAGAATAAGAAAGGCTAGAACGAAAGGCCACCAAGACAAGGTGAAGGATCTGCTTCCGCCTTTTTCCATGGGTAGAAGAGAGAGAGAGAGAGAGAGAGTTGTTTACTAGTAGACAAAAAATAGTAGTTTAGACAGTTGTATACATACCCATATTATAATATAGGAGTGGGGTTAAAGGAAGCACCTTCCGTGAAGCTTCAATTATTAATTAGAAAATATCTTAGAGGAAAGTCAGTCAATGATGTTTGTTTGACACAGTCAGTCAATGGCAAAGATTGACTTGTGCAATGAAATGAGAGGGAGGAGGGAGGCTTGAAAATTCTAACGTTATTAGTGGAGGATAATTTTATGGAATTTCAAAGTCCTTTATTTAGTATTTTGGTAGTGCATTGGTAGCATTTTAGTAATTGAGAAGAGTGGGTTGGAGAAGGTCACATCCACGAAAACAATCCAATACTTGCAGTTGAGAAGACAATTTAATTTTTTATTTGTATGATAGAAAAGGAAGCACCTTCCCTGAAGTTGCATGCAGTAAGCACTTCAAATTATTGATTAGCATAGAAAATATCATAGAGGAAAGTCGGTCAATGGCAAAGACCGACTTGTGTAATGAAATGATGAAGGAATTGCTCCTCTATTCCTTTTGTTACTCTATAGTTACTACGTATGTATATATATATGTGTGCACGCTTAATTAGATTCCATGCGCATTATTATTGCTATTACTAGCTCAAAAATGCAGAAATTGCTCATCACTTCCTTTTGCATGTTGTTACTGGTTTTCTTCAAACTAGTTGAAGCAAGCCAATTTACGTGCTCCAAATCCAAATGTAGTGATGATCAAGGCCCGGCTATCCATTTTCCACTGCACCTCAAGCATCATTGTGGTCCTGGGCTTGAATGCAATCAGATAGATGAGCAGCCGATAATCCTAGTAAAATTCTTTGTCAAGCGCATAGATTACAAGCGTCAGGAAATCCAAGTGCTTGACCCATATTACTCTAATTGCTTGCTGCTAATAAAGCCTGTAAAACTCCCAAACATGCCACTCTCTCCCTTCTACTTGTCAATTTTCAAGTTCGATAACGTTACCTTATTCAGCTGCCCACCTGTTGGAACGTATTATGGGAATCAAGTCCCCTGCCTCGGTGACCCTGGTAGCACAATTTATGGTGCTTATGGTAATTATGATTTTGAATCTCTCTTCGAGGAGCTACCATCTTGTACAAGAATGTATGATGTTTTATTTGTTCCAACTGGTACTTCGTTAGCAAATGGATATGATGTTCTTCGTTTCAAGTGGTCTAAACCAAATTGTACAGAATGTGAAGCAGATGGAAAGAGGTGTAGATGGAAGAACAGTGGCACCAACAGTGAAATTGAATGTGTGAGGAAACCAAGTAAGGATAACATATATTTGTACTCAGTGGTAGCTACTTATAAACATCTTTAAATTTATGTCTCAATAATTATTATTTAAAAAAGATATTGTCCATTTTATTAGGATTAATCGATTGACAGTCTTGATTTAATTTGCAATTATCTTTTACAGGCAACACATGGAAATTATTGGCTACTGGTGGAATCCTGGGTTCTTTGCTTCTTGTTCTACTGATGATTGCAGCATATCGGGTATATAGCGCTGACAGAAAGGAAAAAGAGAGTCGATTAAGAATTGAAAGATTCTTGGAGGATTACAAAGCACTGAAACCGAGCAGGTATTTGTACGCAGATATTAAGAGGATTACAGATCAATTCAAGGACAAGTTGGGCCAAGGAGCCTATGGAACTGTCTTCAAAGGAAGGCTTTCTTCTGAATTCCTTATTGCTGTCAAAGTCCTCAACAGTTCTAAGGGAGATGGGGAAGAGTTCGTAAATGAAGTGCGAACCATGGGTCATATCCACCACGTCAACGTGGCTCGCTTGGTTGGATTTTGTGCTGATGGATTTGTACGAGCTCTTGTTTACGAGTTCTTCCCCAATGGTTCCCTGCAAGATTTCATTTCGTCTGCAGATAGTAAGAATTCCTTCCTTGGTTGGGATAAGTTGCAAAATATTGCCCTCGGCATAGCCAGGGGAATTGAATATCTTCACCAAGGATGTGATCAACGAATCCTCCATTTCGATATCAAACCCCATAATGTTTTGCTAGACCAAAACTTCACCCCAAAAATTTCTGATTTTGGTTTGGCCAAGTTATGTTCCAAGGATCAAAGCTTGGTGTCTATGACTACAGCCAGGGGGACCATGGGCTACATTGCACCCGAAGTGTTCTCCAGGAATTTCGGAAACGTGTCTTACAAGGCAGATGTCTATAGCTTTGGAATGCTGCTGCTCGAGATGGTAGGAGGAAGGAAGAATATTGGTTCAACCATCGAGAACACCACAAATGAAATTTACTATCCACAGTGGATTTATAATCTTCTAGAGGAAGGGGATGACCTACGAATCCATATTGGGGAAGAAGGAGATGGTAAAATTCCAAAGAAACTTGCAATTATAGGGCTATGGTGTATCCAGTGGCACCCGGTGGATCGTCCGTCCATGAAAATAGCGGTTCAGATGTTAGAAGGAGACGGAGAAAGCTTGACCATGCCGCCTAATCCCTTTGTGGCTACAGGTCCTGCAACTAAAAATGGAAGCATTCCGGCAAGACGACTAGAGTTGGAACCAATTGCTGAACTAGAGTAGAAATTGTAACAACAATATATGTAATATTAACATTGAATGTGTAATCTTTCGAACCTAATTTAAGGGTGTTTGTTTCCAATTCTTGTTAACTTCTTTTATTTTTTTATTTTGTGAGCGTCGAAGGAAATCAAGTCTTGGACTTGCCCTATGCATGTGGCAACCCCTCCCAATTTTTTCTCTTCACATTCGGCCAACTTTTACTTGGAATTTTAATTAGTATAAATCTTAAACAAAGGAAAACAAAATGTAGTTTCTGAGGTATTGAATCATTGAAATAGACGTCGTGCTGCTGGGTTGGAACTTGGAAGAAACTTCATGGATGGATGCTGGATAGAAGTAGCAAATTAACTCATTGAATTATTAAAGGTACCCAATATTCACATCAGTTGCTATAATAAAAGATTTGGAATTATGTGTATTATCCAAATGATTATCCTTCTTTTATTAAATTTCCAAGGAAAATGAAAATGAACTAAAATTGTATAAATTAATGAAGTGTCAAAAGACAATAATAAATTAATGGAAAAAGACTAAAATTTTATAAATTAATGGAGTATCAAAAGACAATAATAACAGAAAAAATCATTTTTCGTTAAACAAATTAACTATTTATTTAAGAGGATGTGGATGATGGTTTATGCATCACGTGAATAAAAAAAAAAACCAACTTTGAAGAGAGACATTCATTAGACCAACTCCAATGGTGGGCTAAAAGCCAAATTGCCCCCCAAAATTTCCCTCCAAACTCACTCCAACCCAAGGGGAAATTTTGGGCTAAATGCTAAATACTAAACCAATGTCAAATTTCCCCCAAAATTTAGCCCAGAAATCAAAGTGGACTCCACTCAATATTTATCGGAATTTAAATTTTTTTAGATTAAAATGTTCATAAAATTAATTTACGATAGTCTACATATTTATTTAAAAAAAATATTAATTTAACAAAAAAAATAGCCTAAATTCATTCTTTAATAATCCAAGGCTAAAATTTTAGGCTCGAACGGTTGGAGCAGAAAAACTATTTCTGAGCTAAAAGCTAAATTTTTCGGGCTAAAAATTTTGACTTTTAGCTCAACCATTGGAGATGGTCTTATTAGCAAAGAAAAAAGTTATAATGATTTAGGAAAAAACAAGAAAAGGTAATTAAATGAGACTCATTGACTTGATTAGGAAAGGGCCGGTGAATGAGAATTTTTTTAATATGATCGGAATACGAGATGATATATTATGTGTTATTATGTAAATAGTGAGATATATGTGTTAAAAAGTTCATATCTTAAAAAGTAAAATTTTTCACTACTTATATAAAAATACATGATGTACCATTCGTATTCCGATCATAATGAAGAATTTCTCATGGTAAACAATCTTGAGACATTCATTACAAGCCAATAAAAAGTTATAACAATTTACCAAAAAGCAAGAAAACCTCATTAAGTGGGATTCATTAAAATACTTGATTAAGAGAAAAGTGATGCTATCTACATACTTTATTCAATTTGCAATTGACCGACATAATGAACTAAAAGAAAATCAAATAACAAAATTTAACAAATGATGCATGAGAAGTAAAATCGAATGTGTAGATAGTACAACCAAATAATATTATTATGTTTACTTTCAAGTTTTTAAGGAAATGAGAGTGCTAGTTTGCAATTGGATAAAGAGATAAAAATTTTAGAAGAAAAACTATATTCTTGTGTTTGTTTTCAAGCATTTCGAGAAATGAGAGTGGAAATTCGAATTGGAATTAGGAATGAAAGTTCCACTTGACTATGACCAGTAATCTAGTATTTGGTTGGGAGCTAGTGGCTAGAGCACCCTCCGTGCAGCTGAAGTTTTGAAAAATATCCAAGAGGAAAAGTCATGCTAAGTTAAAGCCAGGCCCATAATGTTGGACAATCGGTCTATGACAGGATTGACTTATGTGATAATTGAGATTGACGTACACGTAACACGGTAATAGGCCCATGATGCCAAACAGTCGGTCAATGGCAGGATTGACTAATGTAATAATTGAGATTGATGTACATGTGACAGGGGAGACAAGGATTGTCTGCCCTTCTACTTTCGGTGCCTTCATGTTTTGTGTGGTCACGGTTAAGCCACGCTAACATTTTATATTATTTTTTATCAAGAGAATAAGACAAAAATAAATAGTAATATAAAATGTTGATGTAGTTTAATCGTAACCACACAAACATAAAAGCACGAAAAGACACCGGAAGTAGGAGGGCAGACAATCCTTGTCTGTAACAGGTGCCGGTCACGATCATAGTTAATAATACAAAACTATGTGAATAAAGACTTACACACTACAATCCTTCGTTATGGAAAGAAATCATTTTTCATTCTAATCCATCAAATCAGGAAATTCATACTTTTGAAATTTAATCCAATGGTTTAAGTTATTACGATTTTTAAAATAAATCCTTATTTTTAACCGTTGGATCAAATGTTAACGACATAAATTTCCTGATTATACGGAAAGGATCCGAAAATGATTTCTCTTCCCTTCATTAGAAAGAAAAAGACATCAACCTGTTCCGGATTTCATGTGAATTAAAATTAATTATTCTTCTTTTATTAAATTTCCAAGAAAAATGTAAATAGAGTAAAATTGTATAAATTAATGGAGTATCAAAAGACAATAATAACAGAAAAAATCATTTTTCGTTAAATAAATTAACTATTTATTTAAGAGGATGTGGATGCATCACGTGAATACAAGAAACCAACTTTGGAGAGAGACATTCATTAGAAGAAAAGAAAAAAGTTATAATGATTTAGCAAAGGGTCATTAAATGGGAGTCATTGACATGATTTGAAAATGGGTGGTGAACAAGAAATTTTTTAGTGCGATCGGAATACAGGATGATACACCATATATTATTATGCAAATAGTAAGATATGTGTGTTAAAAAGTTAATATCTTAAAAAATAAAATTTCCCACCATTTATATAAAAACAAATGATGTATCATTCGTGTTCTGATCATAATGAAAAATTTCTCGTGATGAATCACCTTGAGACATTCATTACAAGCCAATAAAAAAGCTACAACAATTTACGAAAAAGCAAGAAAACCTCATTAAGTAGGACTCATTAAAAGACTTGATTAAAAGAAGAGTGGTGCTATCTACATACCTCATTCAATTTTCAATCATCCGATATAATGAACTAAAAAAAATCAAAAAACAAAAGTTAACAAAAGATGCCTAGGAGGTAAAAGAAAGTGTGTAAATAACACAAGAAAGAAACATGGTAGGTCTTCCAATCGATGTGAATCAATAATCTAATATTTGGTTGGGAGCTAGTGGCCAGAGCACCCTCCGTGCAGCTGCAGTATTGAAAAATATCTGGGACGAAAAGTCATGCTAAGTTATAGGCCCATGATGCCGGACAGTCGGTCAATGACATGACTGATTTATGTTATAATTGAGATTGATGTACATGTAACAGGCCCATGATGCCCATCAGTCGGTTAATGGCAGGACTGACTTATGTAATAATTGAGATTGATGTACATGTAACGGGTGCCCGTCACAATCGCAGTTAATAATACAATGATATGTAATAAAGACTTACACCGACAATACATTATTCATCTTTCGTTACAAAGAAAAACACATCATCCTGTTCCGGATTTCATGTGAATTAAAATTAGTTCAAAATACATAAAATTGCTCTTCTCTTCCTTCCTCTTGCATATTTTTACTTGTTTTCTTTAGAAAAAATTATAGCAATAGTTCTTTAATTTTAATTCAATTAGAGTAATGATCTATTAACCAAAAATTTTATGATCATTAACCCCTTAACTTACCAAAATGTGCAACTATGATTCTTTTTGTCAACTCCATCAGAATTTTGTTAAAAAGACTCATATTGGAAGAACCGTTGATACAATTAGATTGAAGTTGAGAGATGTTGCTCTAATTGGCTTAAAGTTGAAGGACTATTTCACTAATTGGGTTAAAGTTGAGGCACTATTCCTACGATTTTTTTCATTTGGTTTTCTATATTTGCCTATTGATTCAGTCTCACGTGTGTGTGGCACGTGACTTATTTTGACGGAAGTTTTAACGGAGTTAACGAAAAGAACTACAGTTACACTTTTTGACGAAATTAAGGGACCAATGATCATGAATTTTTAGTTGATGAACTATTACTTAAACTGAGTTAAAGTTGACAGATCGTTGCTACAATTTTCAGTTGAGGAAAGCAAGTATAACATATATAATTATTGCTGGTTTTAAGCAATTATCATGAGGATATTAATGACAGTCAAATTTGCATCTTATGTGAAATCCCGTTCTCGGATTTCACTGTTATAATCTACGTATTTGTATTATTGAGATTTTATATTATTTTTCGAGAATTTAAATTAGTTTATTTGAAATTAGATTTCAATTAAACTAGGTACGAAGGGTGAAGTTTGAAAAATTATTATTTACTCGTTGACCCTTTGATGTCACAAGTAACGTTTTCGAATAGGCCTTGAAGCCACGAACGCATAGGCAAAAGCCGTTTGCGAGTCCAAATTATGACGGTATAGTTACAGACATTTGAAGTTGTGAAACTTTAGGTTGTGAAAATTATTTAATTTCCACCAGAGGGTAAAAGGTGCAAATATATATTTGGGAAGTTGAAATAATTTAGGAAAAAGCATGAAAACCTCATTAAGCGGGACTCATTGACACGATACTTAATAGGCGAGGGTGGTGTTATAGCCTTCTCAATTTTCGGCTTTCAGATGAAATAATTTGAAAAAAATCAAATGACATAAATAAAGTAATTAGAAGTATACAGGTAAAGGTGGTGCTATAGCCTTCTCAATTTTCGGCTTCTAGATTAAATAATTTGAAAAAAATCAAATGACATAAATAAATTAATAAGAAGTGTAGAGGTAAAAATAAGTGTATGGATAACAGCACCCAAGTAATATTTTTGTGTTTACTTTCAAGTCTTTAGAGGAATGAGAGTGCAAGTTCGTAAAGCAAATAAGGGATGAAAATTTTAGGACAAAAGTCATATTATTGTGTTTACTTTCCAAGTCTTTTGGGGGAATGAGAGTGCACG